AGAACCATTGTTGGTATCTCTCATCTTCAGAGTTTACGTTTCTATCTTCGAGTGAAATTCTCTCTAAACCCTAGTGTTACAGGAAGAGTAAAATCATTGTAGGTATTATTCATCTTCAAAGTTGTGTTTCATTTTTGATCAAGCTACTCTCTTGATCACTAGTGTTACAAAACTACAACAAATGTGATTGTGATTATGTCACATGATTCGATTATCTTGCGATCATTTGGTTTTGTCCACAAAGATGCCATGAGTTATGATTTATGACTTTGAGTCTCCTTTCCAAAAGAAAATATCTACTTGTGAGAGGATTTTGGTGTTACATGAAAAGTTTAGCACATTCATACTTTAAACATGACGTCTCTAAACATATGAAATGGTATGATATGATGTTATTCAACCTTATGACTTCTTAAATCAAATCTAATCATGCTTTGTAGATAAAAATTTCATGAGTCAATGACTCTAAAAGTCCATAATATGAAGTTCAAGAATTGTTGAAAGATTGAAGACAATTATCATCTGGTTACGTTATAATCTTTGAACATATGAAAGTATCTAATTTGATACTTATATATTTGTGATTTCTTGAATCAAAAATTTGATCATGCTTTGTAAATAAATGAATCGGTGAGTACCAAGGAAGTTCATGAATTTTCAGAGGATGAAGAAAATATTTGCAACTCAATCTCAATCATTTTTGTGAGTATGTAAACTACAGATTTAAACCTCCCAATAGTGACATACATTGGTCTATAGTTTTATGTCACTATTGGGAGGTGACACTCACACGAGGTTGAATAATATTTGGTGTATCATGTGGAGACATTCTTATTGCATGTTTAGTGGATCCACTAAATATTTAGCGGATCATTTGGCGGTTCGAATCTGAATTCACATCAACAATGATCAGTGAAATTACAATTATTTGATATTCTTGATAAGAAGATTTCTAATACATAAGATGTCTGTACTTGCCTGTATATCAGCAATTTCTACTATATAAGATTTTTAAGATTCTCTACTGTATATAGAAGATTTTTACTACTCAAAGAATTACATGGCTAAATCAAGAAGCAATTTTTCTCGTTTGAGAAATATAAGGAACCAATTCTGCTTGGTAAATTTTGTAAAACTCTCTAGATTACAATGGTGGTTATAATCAACATAAATATCAATTTTCAAAATTGAATTTTTATTTTCCCTTATATGACTCAGAAATTTGAGCTGGTTGAAGAGCCCAAGATTCTAGTCGAGATTGAATTTTTCAATTTGTCCCTTATATGATTCGGAATATCTTAACACAAAGTGTTTGGATCACACTGAGCACTAACGCCACCTAGAACAACCTTTCTACAAATGATGTGCAAAATGATATCAATTTTGTTAAGATATGTTTCATCGCGAAATTCAAATCACACTTCCTTAACTTATGCTCCGAGCATAAAATCAAAACATCCACGTATTTCTGGGACCTGTCGTGTTAGACATACATTTAATGTATGTCAAGGAAAAGTAGCAGATGATAACAAGAGCAGTTAAAATTTGACGCATTCAATCTTCTCATAAATTAATTACAATCATGATTGGATTTCATTGGAAGCATAGAAAAAAAATATAATTCTAAATCCGGAAGTTATGAACGGATACTTTCAATAATTATGATAGTCATTAAAGCTCCACTATGTCACTATTGAATCTTCTCATGTCACTATTGCCAATAGTGACATACGTTTCTTATTGAACAGATTTATAAGTTAAAAACTAATGGTTCCACACTTTCATGTCACTAATGGGAGTATGTCATTCATAGGAGATGACACTATTGGGAGGTTTAACTCTATATCATGTTAATCAAGTAAGTTTAGTAAAAAAAAGCTACATGACTGATATTATTTTCATCAATGTATAAAAAATTTGTTGGAATCTGTCAAAGATCATGATGTCAATTATGATTTTAAGTTTATGCATTATGATATCAATTAGTCAAAAGTGACAATACTTCATTATCAAATATATATTGCATTTGGTGGGAAGAAACAAATTGAATTGAAATGTAAAGCTGCATGTACTATTCAAGTATGAAACTATCTATTTAGTTACAATGTTATTATGAACTATCTTTGCAACCAACATCTTGTTCAAAGTATTCTATATCAAACTTTTGAATACTATTCTAATTACGTTTTATTCTTTGATGATGTTCTGATTGATGATGATGTTTTGTTCAAAAACTACATCAAATTATATTTATTGTTTTTGTCTCTAAAGCATAAGAAAAAATTGTCTACAATATCGAGAGGTATATTGTGGAAATCATTGTAGATGACATGATGTTAAATTTCAAAGATCGTGAAGATAATGATGCAGATCATGATGCGGATGAGTAGTGTACATTCAATAGAGCATTGCGATTGATGCTTACCTTCTTTGACATCTTAAAACAACAACAAAGACAAAAGAGTAAGTGCTGTTATTGTTGTTCAAATGTGTTGAATCAAAGGATGACATTTCAATTTATTTTTATTTGATAATAATTTTCAAAACAAATATTACTTTGTTTTGTTTAGTTTGTATGTTATGTGTATTGCGAAACATCATTTTGTATGACTATTAAACTCATCGATTGCACCACAATATTTTGAATCATTTTGGTTTACGTGTGTTCTTGGAATGAAATCAATAAATTTGTTTGGATTAAATGTGTCATCAATCTACATCAAATTGCTAACATTCTATGCCATTCTTGTGACTTTTTATTATTAATCAATTTTGCAAGACATTATAGCATTTTATTTCTTAATTTAACGTTTTTTAATTTTTAATTTCAACTATCATTTCAATGTTAACTTGCAAAAATGCTCGGACCTAATGTTTGATACTCATACATTTGATATCATGTCTAGAATGATGAACAAGTTTATGATAGTATTCTATCATGATTGGACAATTTGTCTTCTTGACTTGACATATGACCGTGCCTGCAAAAAAATAAATAAGAACGTTATCACTCGTATTGACGTTGCAATGCATAACAATTGTTTCATGATTTAGATTTGATCTGGAGCAAGTCAACTAAATCTTATTATGGAGGAAATAATTACCAATGTCATGAATAAATAATTCTTTTTGGTTATGACTAAATCTATCATTCATTCAACACGTTAGCAAAATTTGATCGCAAAAATGCAAATCACTCGTTCTTTTGTTGTCAATCATTGACTTTTGATGGAGAGCATTATCACTTGGTTTAAAATCTATTGAACACATTTGCTTGTTCATATTGAGTTAAAATAGACATTTTTTGCTTCACTTTGTCATTGGTGGATTGCACTTCATTTCATGCATCATTTTATCATTCAAGTAGCTATAGTTTTTTGTGCTATTAAAAATTTAACTACTCCTCATATGCCAAAATTGGATACCAAGACTCATATCCAAATTCATACATGTTCATAGGTTTCGGAACACCATGAATGATTATTGTTTTCAAATGAGTATTGACATAGTTTTTCAATATGTACGGAGTCTATGTCCATCAATACTGCTTGAATTAAATACTAACATCATTGTCATGTCAATAAAATGTATAAAAATGACATGTGTCACCAGCATTTAACTCACGAAGTGCAAAAATATACGTTGTATTAAGGTTTAACTTGCGCCTTGCGTAGTTTAAATTATTCCATGCTTGCATCAGAGAATATTTGTGAATCTTCCAGACACATATTTTTGAAAAAATTACGCATTGCGCAAATGAAATTATTCATACTTACACCAAAAGATACTTGTGAATCTTTCAAAACATTGATTTTTGAAATTTTAGTTGCAATTGTATTATTGAGATGGACACATCTAACTCTAGTTCATTAAATGCACAAATGATAAAAAAATAAACTAAAAAAACATTGTCAAATGACATAGATCAGATGTAATTTGAATAGCATGAGTTTACATGGGTGAGCACGGATGGGCATAAGTTGTTGCTGATGGTTATGGTTTGGATATGAGTATAAATTTGAAGTAAATGTTGATATATACAAAATATCTTGTATAAGTTACTCCCATACTTCATTGCTGACTTTTGTATTACAAGGTCAGTCAATGTAGATTTAATTGCAAATTTAATTGCACTCATGTCATTAATGGTCATTATATAATTACTAGTCTAGTAGACTAATTTTTATTGGTTTGGCTTCATAGGTTGATTCCTTACTTAACTAAGTCAATGAAAGCAATCATAACAATCTTCAACATGACATGATACTCTTTTACATCATAGTTTGCTTTTGAATTTATATAATTTGTGCTTATTGAAATGAAAAAAATAATGCAATGATTGATTTTGATTCTATTCCTATCTCATGAATTTGTCAAATCATCTACAAACAATTTTATTCAAAAAATTTGGCAACATGCCTTCCGATGTAGCATTTGTCATCAGCTCATATCCATCTCATAGCCGAAAAGCGTAAAGTACTAATCCATCGTCACATATGTGAGTGAGTGTTGAAGTAGTTGTCAATTTGCTTTGGAGTAGTTCAAGTTTAAAAAATGGTTGATCTTTCTTGGTGTTCAATTTCTGAATCTGATGTAATATTGTGCTTCTCACTTGCAAGGTCTTTGAAAATTAGTATTTTAGAATCTAACTTTTGCGTTGGAAGAAAATTTATTACTCAATTGTTTATCAAACTTGACGTGGGAGTTACTACTTTGAACTTGACCATAGTATAGATACAAATGCTAGGCAAACTTTTGCATAAGAACTGATGGCAAGATAAGAAAAACATTAATTAGGAATATAATAATGCGGTGACTCTTCTTACACATGCTAAAGGCCTCGCGTAAAACTTACGTAGTACGTAACTAACTACATAGCACGAGAAACTAGTTACGGAAGGTTGTGGTTGAAATTAACTCCACTCTTCTATCTATTACCATTTATAAACAAGTGGGATGGTGTGATATATAGACGGTCGTGGGGGCAGGTATGGAAGGAAAACCACTTGAGAGTAGTTGTTTCCTGACTTCTTCTACCGTCATCTAGAAACAAAAGGGAGAATTATAATTATAAATGGGCAGGTGAAGAACAACGGTAACGAATTATTGCGATGTTCTTGGGTCAAAGAGTTGGTGATATGTCTTATTCACGATAAATTTGTGCCTCCAATCTTTTTCAACCCTTGACGCATGATAGAGAAGGCTGTGTCTGCGTGGGGCAGGGAGATTACTCTTCGATCACACTAAAAACAATGAATCTGTTATCGCCAATTGCAACTACGTTACAAATTTGATTTCAAAATCATTCTGAGCTGCCGAGCATGGAACAGGGCCAGGCAGAGGCAGGCACAGAAAGTGAATCCTGGGTACCATGTGCAACATTTGATCTGTCGCGTATTACTTTGAATCTCTTTGCATCGACGTGCATCTATGCCACGCATTAGCACAAAGTGTCCAGTGTATGTGAAAATTCAGATGTTGATACCATTTGCGAAGTGGAGCCTTCTGACGTAAATGGCGTAAATGGACTGCGTAGTTGAGTACGATCTTGTGCCTGATTGTTCAGGAGAGCTGGATCTGTATAAACTGTCTGCTCCTTCACTTGAACGTGCATGCCCAATGTTCTGCACTTTTTTGTCAATTGTTGTTTCTTATCGTGGCTAAATCAAGCTGGTTGCCTGTCCCCAGTTCGGGCGCACATTTCCAGAGTTATATCGGGGACGTTGTGACTCACCGTCGTTAAACTTGTTGAAGCTCTGAAGGTACTTCCGCACTCTCGGCTATATGTGAATTGTTGGCTAAGGTGTTGGAAGCACGGTATAAACTATGATCAGGTTTGTAATCGTTTGGTTCTTCCGCAATTACATGAGAATGCTGGAAGAGTTGGAAATGGGCTACATTCACTACGCAATTTTTGCATGATGGGCGGGAAAATCCTTGAGCTGCTTGTTGATTAGAAGAACCGTAATGCATCCGCGCATCTATAGTCATCAGTTCATATGTCAATTTGAACTATTGTACGTGTCACCATGTTGTGATTCTGAACACGTTTATTCAGGCGAGCTGAAATCTCAGTGAAATTATATCACTGAGAGCGAAGTCCCGAGGCCAGGCGGTATCAGCAAAGTGAGCACAACGTGCGCGGTTAAATTCAGGAGATTCATCGGAAATTGGCGAGCAATTATGACTTCCGAGGAGCTTGATAGCGAGAAATGGGCAGGAGAATTTTTAGGCCCAAACCTTTCGATCCTCTCCTCTTTTCAGGTCCTCTCCAGTCCATCTACATCTCTTGGACCCACTCTTTAATTATGACAAATAGGACTGTTTACCCGTGGGTCGCTTGTCTCTTACCCGGATAAAGTGGTATTTTTCTCATCCCCGGGGCAACGGACTTCATTGAAGAGGTAGTCCAAGTAACCTTTTTTAAAAATGAGTAAATCAAACATAAGTAACTATGAGTAGAAACTTTGTGATTCACGAATATCTGTTTTTCAAGCATGCATGGCAAGATGATACATCTCTGCGGAGTGAAATAATATGTCGATACTTATCTTTCACTATAGACAGGTTCGCCTTCGCCAAATTTTTATTGGAACCACAATTCGTCTCATCTTCATGTATAGCTTCGTCTGAATTTCGACAGTCTGCATATTTGCACAAGCACACGGACGGCTTTCCATTGTACTGTAGATAATCTTCATGCCTTGGGCAGGTGTCCGCCTCTAGAACATCGATCATTTGTGTTGTTTATTGTTACCAGCAACCACAACCAGCCCAATATGTCATCTGGATCAGCTCTCATGTACACGGATTAATCAATTAATCAATTTGATCAAACCTTTTTTCAAAGGTTTGATTAACCTGAAATAAACATTTATTTTACAATGGTCATAGTGTGAGATAGTCATTTGAAGAACTGGCCTTACATGAGGATGGATTCAAAGCAGCTTAGCCCAGTGTCTTTTTCTAATCCTTGAAGCCAAATCTTGCCGAAGCGCAGAAAATTTAGGAACATTCTTTGCGCTTTTTCTGACAGTAGATGATGAAGACCGTCATGTGTGTCATATACCGCGCGTAAGGAGGTCTTGATCTATGCAGTAGTTTTAGGTACAGTTCACTACAAATTATTTAATTCAGCCACATAAGAACCGACTTTTTAGGCCCTGAATCAATATTTAACCTCGGTGACTAAAACATGTCTGTGGTTGATGGCGCAGATAAAGTTGGCACGTATGTTGATGGAGGAAGGACAGGCTCATTTGTTTACAAATTGGCCCTTGCCTGGTGATAAGGACTTTGACAAGCTCCGCTTTTTTGACCAAGTCAGTAGTTTTGATGAAAACCTTGAATCAGACCTTTTAAGGTCAATTTGATACGTTTTTTTTTTTATTGCAAACTGTATTTTCTTACCCTCTTTCCCCGTTTACAATTTGAGGACCATGTGGTTGGTTTTTTAACACTGAGTAACAGGAGGTTTTGTGCTCCTTATTAAACATATGCAGCTACATCTGTGTGTACAAAGAGGTGGAAAACATCTCAAAGTTTACTTTTAAAATCCAGGTGGCAAAGTTGGATTCAAATTATCCAGGTGGATTAGCGGCGTATATACGCAATGCTCGTAAACTACTCGCAGATTCAAAGGCTGGAAAGAACCCCTTTACTGGCTATGTTCCATCGGTAAGTTATGATTTTGGATCCAAACTTGAAAGTATACAAGAAGGTAGGTTTGAAATGATGTGCAAGGCTTCCATTCTACCAGTGTATGAATTTCAAGAAACTGATTTGGTTCCCTTTGCACCTCTTTCGGAAAGTGGGTCACTTTCCTTCAGTTTAATTACAGCTATTGCTTCAAGATAATCTCACTCCGAAATAATAGTTTCAATTTTATGTTTTGGTCAGCAGAACCAAAAGGTAAGAAAAGTATATATGATTAATTTTGACCTTGTCTAATATCTCTGGTAATCTACGTGATCGATGTTGTCAGGTTCCAAACGGTGAAAAGCTTATTTACGGAGATGAGAAGTTTATGCAGTATGAAGAAGCTGGTGCGAAGGAGGCACAACACAGTGCGTTTGTCCTAGTTGCCGGTGGACTAGGGGAACGCCTCGGATACAGTGGTATTAAGGTAATAACGACCTGAAGGAAGGGTCATGGAACGTCACTAAGGTTTTCATGCCAACAAGTAGTGTTTTCTACTTTGCAAGTTTGAGAAGGGTATATTCTTATCAGGCTTATTTTCATATCAATGAGTCATAATTCCAAGTCCTGGCAGGTTGCTTTACCATCTGAAACAACAACCGAGACCTCATATCTGCAACTTTACATCAATACCATTTTGGCGCTTCAAGCTGCCAACAGCAAAGGTCATGGTTGTCTCAAAAGCAAAGTTTCAATCTATTTTATCGTTGTGAAGCTTTCGGTGTAAAGGCGAGATGACCCAGTGAATGTTTACGTTCAGTACCTGGACTTGAGCTTAAGACCTTGATAAAATAGCTGCTATATCGGCTTTACTTAGTTGACATATCACGTAATACTTGATATTGCTAGTTGAGAGGACTGAGATAATCTGGGAAATGCTCCTGAAAGTTTTTTTCCAGTATGTTACTCAGGACCAACCATCTGATATTTGAATTGTCCATAACGTGCATGCAGGTCGGAGCACAAGACTTAGACCAATTCCACTTGTGATCATGACATCTGATGATACACATCGACACACGGTGGAGCTTTTGGATAATAATAAGAACTTTGGGATGCTGCCTGACCAGATTGTGCTTTTGAAGCAGGTCCGCTAATCTGGCATGAACCTTTCCACTTGTTGTCGTATTTCTTTCTAAGAAAGTTGATTGTGTCTCATAGTACGTCAATCCAGGATTTCTGCTGGTAGCGGAAAGTATGACATTGTCTTAACAATCAACCTAGCGCTGAGCAGATCCTCAGCGCAACTCTTGAAAGGAACTGTAACTTCTAGTGTTCTGAAATTCAACGTGCATAGCGTTCAGAAAGTTGTTGGTACTTGCTATATTTCTTATACAGGCTGACTGGCAGCTGCCAGCTAGTTTTAACATCTTCTTTCTACATTGACTCTTAGAAACTTCGACATTGCCTTCTATATAGGCGCTTTTCAATCTCAAAGTGTCCCCTCTCTTCGTTCCTGGAACAAAGTCAAAAGCTACTGAAGGTTTATGCGGCTAAGTTAATGTGGTTGATAGGTAGGTAGGTTTTCTCTGGATTCACGGTAAGATGTTTTATGAGAGTTCTCAGAACAAATTCTTTGCAGGAGAAGGTCGCTTGTTTAAGTGACAATGATGCTTCCATAGCCATGGATCCTTCCGACAGCTTCCTAATCCAGGTAAATTGGACATGCTCAATTGTAGTTGGACTTCTTCTAGGCTTGAGATGATTCCCTTTCTCATATGTATTTGTATGAACGATTTTTTTTGACACGGCCGCGTCAGATGAGAGACGCAATCGGCCATGGCTATCAAATCAGTACATTCATTGTACTGTTTGGATTGTTGATACTTGAAAAGAGGGATATTGCTGAGAATATAAAGACTGGAGATTTTTATTTATGAAACAATTTGTTTCGTTTAGCTGGATCTACATAATTACCTCTCTCCAGATATCTTAAATAACGCTTAAATCCTTTTTTTGTCTAACAGTGCCCTGCCCCGGGGGGCACGAGACCCAATAGTTCTTGCAACAGAATAAACATATCAAATTTAGAGTCTAAGAAGCAAAGTTATGAAACAATGATCAGTAGTGTTGCCAACGCAATTCAGGACGCAATGCACTCATTAAGGACGCCTGATCCCTACTTGTAAATTACTAAATAGAGGAGCTTCGGAAGTCTTCATAACGCCAGGGGGTTGCTGGCTGTCCACTGTTATGGCCTGTTTCTGTGTTCTACTTTGTCAGTAGTGTTTTTTCAAGCTCAACTGTTGAGATTTCCATTTCTTAGCTTTCAGTTGCTTTCACATACATAAAATGTAGCCATGCTAACCTCGACATTGTTTCAATTCAGACCAAACCTCATGGGCACGGGGATGTTCATAACGTTCTCTTCAGTAGTGGGCTTCTCTCGAGATGGTTTGTCATCTCACTTCTTTTGCTTTCGAAACGGATGACTGCGGGGCTCCGATTTAACAAGATTAACAGCGCTCATCTGTCTTTTCCTGGCATAGTTTGAGTATAACATAGATTGATAAAGGAGAATAACGATTGAAAGGGAATAGGTTTGGAGCAACATACATTCATTCATTTCATGCTAGACGCTAGGCATGTGCTCCAAGATTACAATTATGGCCCTTATTTTCGTTTTTGGAACTCAGGCAGGAAGTTGGTGTAAAGTGGGTGCTCTTTTTCCAAGATACCAACGGATTGCTTTTCAAGGTTGGGATTTCAACTTGTTATATTCGCTCTTGTTTCAACTCTTGTCTTACGTAGAACAAAACATCAAGTGGAGGTTCTTTTACATCCTGGTGACTCAACATGGAATATATTTAAAGATGGTCTATTTATACAAGTCTTCAATTCCATTTTGACGAAGCAGGGCATTCCAGCGTCGCTGGGTGTAAGTGCTTTGAAAGATCTTGATGTGAATTCTCTTGCTGTCAACCGCAAAGCCAAGGAGGCCATAGGTGGAATAGCAAGGCTCACCCAGGATAATGGTAAGGCTAGAACCTCCCCTCAATTCCCATGTCTACGTAATTGTATTTGTCATTTCAAGCATTTCGTATGCGAAAATCCTCCGTCTTGATGAGTATTTTCAGTGTATTAGCGTCCCTCACCCTTCCTCAGCATTTTCAATTATCTGAGCAACCTAGAATTTCAATGTTTATGAAAACGAAAGGGAGCGGCTGACATATAATACCTGCAGTTATCTTGAATGTATCGCGTTGGTCGGCCCTCTCCCCGCCTCTGGCCCTCACTGATGCTTTAATGGCAATGGGGGATCCCTATGCATATGTTTAAATCAAGAAGACTTCATGTTTTGGAACTCCTCAGTGAATACTCCATGCTTGCTTCGTTCGGAAACTATGTCTCTTGCTTTCGTTCTTTTACCTCATTTCTATATTATGCATGTTCCTCTCGTTGTTTTGTGCAGTTCGGGTAAATTTTCTGCAAATATCATCTGCCTATTTCGTGGGTCTTGCAGATCATATTTTACTGTTTTATTGGTACTCCTTGCTCGTTTTTGTACTCAAGGGATCGTTCATGCTAAAGGCTGTTTTGTGTTCATATTCAACCCTATTGTAGAAATATGTTTAGAATGAGTAAACGTTCTGGATGGATGCTTTCGCTTTCTCTGCTTGAGTATCACTCAGCTAGGGAGTGAGGCAAACGTTTTCAGGCTCTGGGCAAATACTTCTGTAGAGTCCTCTCTGCTCGCCTAGGGTGTCAGGTGTCTAAAGCCGCTTGAGCTTCCATATATTCCTTATGTCTAACTAGACGACCGGCAATCGATCCTCAAGAGATCACAAACAAAATGGTATTGTCATCCCACCTGATCAAACTTACAAATCTGATAAATGTTCCATCATTGATCTTCATATTATTTCGGTTGCAGGGTCAGAAATGGTTATCAATGTTGAGTACAATCAACTGGATCCCCTTCTACGTGCCACCGGTCATGCTGAAGGAGATGTTAATGATGAAACAGGCTTCTCGCCATTCCCTGGAAACATTAACCAGGTATTCATCATTCTTGAGCGTCATACACAAGTAGTTGTTCTGTAGAGTTGAAAGTAGTTTGTATACGCGCTCATGTGATTTGCTTACTCTTGGAATGATTCTCATTGGTACCTATTTATCAAGTTAGTAGCTGCCATTGCTGACATTTTACCACATTTATCTTGTGTTATGGACAGTGTAACCAATGCCAACATAACGTTGAGACATCTAAGGACTTTTAAGAATCTCTGGACTATGACACCTATTTATTTAAATACGGAACGGAAACCAAGTTTCGTAGGTTGACACATTTAGGCATCAAACCTCTTTCTTTAGTAAGAAGAGGGAACGTGGTTTCATGTGCAGCTAGTTTTGAAGCTCAGCTCATACACTGAGGAGCTCTCCAAAACAAACGGAGCAATTGTCGAATTTGTCAACCCGAAGTGAGCAGATAACCCACAAGCGCTCATGACGACTTGTATCTTGATAGTTTTGAAGCTTTTATCTTAACTTTAGCTTCTATTATACCTGTGTTTTGGTTGTCTTTTAGCTTCTATTATACCTGTGTTTGGGTTTTAATTACTCAAACTCTAGGCCATGCATATCTGGAAGTTTGTTCTACGGATTGCCTGTCAGATACACTTCAAGGGAAAGCAGGGAGGGATTGGAATGCACACTGCTGATGCTACAAACTTGTCATGTCAGGTACAAGGATGCAAGTAAAACATCCTTCAAATCATCCACAAGATTGGAATGCATGATGCAAGACTATCCGCGAACATTAAATTCATCAGCGAAGGTTGGATTTACGGTAAGTTTGCAATCAGTATTTTGCATTCGGTGACTTCTCACAGTATACATGGCCAATCTCCTTCTATACCCATACGGTGGTGGATTATGTACGTATTTACTTTTTGAGCATGATGATGTCAGTTTTTTACCATACGAAAATCGTTGATTCTGGTAAAGTTCTGCACAATGAACAGAATAGCCTTTTGAATCTTGCAAAGTTTATGTTTTCCATAGGTGCTTGACACTTGGTTGGCTTATGCTCCGGTGAAAAACAACCCAGAAGATGCCGCAAAAGTAAGTACACGGAGTCTGAATGTTTCTTTCATGGCTACGTTGAATAATATTTGTTATGTGAACTATCAATGAATTAATTGCTTTACTTTACAGGTACCACGAGGCAATCCTCTCCACAGTGCAACGTCGGGGGAGATGGCTATCTACAGGGCAAATTGCATGATTTTGCAAAAGGTAATCCCTGATTTTGAAGATATAAGGACTTGCTCTTTTCACTTCCTTTCATCGGCGGCCAGATCGATGTTTGAAATGATAAATGTTGAAGGCTATTTGTGTTATAGCAAAGAATCTTGTGCGACCTGAGCCACCTATCTTTCACTAGATTATGGTGAGGTTAGTAATTGAAATCTGCGGTACCTTGATGTGCTCTGTTGTTTACGAGGCTGTAGAGATCCCTTATCAGCGCTTTATCCCTCTAACCGTGCACCTTTTACTTAGATGCTGAATGTTCATCAGTGTCGAAGGCTTGATACTTTGAATTTTGCATACTCTTTTGATTTGTTTGCTCTGCAAATACAGGCAGGTGTGAATATCGAAGGCCCAAAGATAGAGATTTACAATGGCCAAGAGACTGAGGTATGGCCTCGGGTTGTCTGGAGTCCAAAATGGGCACTGACATTTTGTGATGTCAAACGAAAGGTTAAGGGCCTTTGTCAAATTTCCCAGAAGTCAACGTTAGTGCTCGACGGTGACAACGTGACTCTGGAAAACCTAGTCCTTGATGGTGCTCTTTTTATACGTGCTACAGGTGGTTCGCAGGTAAGTGTAAACCATGAATCGCGTTTGAGCAATTTAGAGCACGTTAATATCAGTTGAAATCAGTTGGTTTAAACTCGATTTCTCCTTGGAGTTTACCTCTACGATATTTCATTTGAACACCAAGTTAATTCTTTGAACTGGGTGTATGTAAACCGCAGGTTAACATCAAATCGATGCGGGTTTTTAACGATGGGTGGAAAATCACCCCCGTGGACTTCGCAGACAAATCCTACCGTGAGGAAATCAGAATGAGAGGATTTGAATTCCAACGACTCGGTCAACAAACTTTGTTTTTTGATCAACCAGGAGAGTGTTGTGTGAGCAATGTATCTATGTGATTATAAAAATTTACTACAATATTGATTCGGCATTGTTTTATATTTGGACTAAAGTTTTACACTATACATAACTCCAAGATGATAAAAAGGATCACAGTTGCAGGACCCTAGAGGCATGATGGTGGATCTTTCACTTAGCTTAATGTTACTACACATGTTAATCAACTCATGCCCTTTTTTGTGAGTTTAGTTCGTGACTGGCAGAAATGCAGGATGGTTCCAAGATGCTTGCCATTGTAAGCAATTCGAATTTTACTCCAGGAGCCGTATAATAAGAAAGAATGTCAAGGTTATAATCTTTTGCAGCCTTAGTTCGTTCTTGTCATTTAATCAAGTTGTCTGACTCAACACGATGTTTCTGGTTGGAGACGTTAATGATGTTAACGATTTTATTTTATCTTAGGAGTCCTCGAAACTTATTGTTGAGCGAGTCCCAACAAAACTTTGTGATCGTTCGCAAGAGCTGGGATTGAGATACACTCAAAACCTTTAGAAAAGTTTACCAAGTAGATTCTATAGTTTGAACAAGTTTACCAAGTAGAATCTGTAGCTGAAGAATTGTAATCATTGGTATAAACTTGTCATAGCCTGAAGAGTTAGTTCAAGAATTGCTAGAAAAACTTCGTTCAGTAACTCTTGAGGATTTTAGCCGTCAATGGTTCTTTTCATTAATCTCAATATTGGTGAACAAGGACTTCATGTCGGGGAATTTTCAAGCCGGCACTTCGTATGTAACTGTAAGCAATTAGTTTACCGATGCGATCCGCTTTTTAATTACTTAGTTGCAAGGGGTAAAAAGTAATTGGTCCGGTTATTATTATATAGCTCGAAGAGAGGTAAGGGTGAAGCGAGTCCCAAAAATATTGGGATGAAGGGTAGTTATACTCTCGTAAGGTGTCACTTAAAGCAACCAACGACATTAATCTTCTGAGAACCAGGTAAGGGGTGTACAGATCTATGTCTATTGTGGGACTGTCCAGTAAAGTAAACGCAAACAATGTTCAGTGGTAGTACCAATAACACGGGTTCAGTAGATTGCTTGCTAGATTACGTCGGATAAAGAATTGGCACGAGTGAAAATGCCAGGCCCGGATGGCTAGAATATACGCTCATGAGGCTACTAGGTTTCAGAAAAACGACTGACGACATTTGACTACGATTTTGCTACCACGCACAGTCGTCATCTGTTGACACCCGACTACGGCATCGCATCGATCGATATTTAGGTTGTAGTTGTCATCTAAATCAATAACTTTTAACCAAATCTTTCTCATGAGAAGTCAATGACGCTCAAGCGAAAGAAATGAAGAGAGAGATGCCAACGGGAAATGACCAACTTGAACTCCTTGTGGCCACGAAGAGCTCAGTATCGTCCTGGTCAGCGGACAGTGAGAGATTTTAATTCAGAGCGACCTTGACGGAAGCATCAGTTTGTTCCGAGTGACAGGAGCAAAAAAAGAATCCTCTGACGTTGCTGGAAATTATGTGATTTTGGGTGCGTTGAGTGACAGGTGGCATAACCGTGGCAAGAGGCGGAATGTAACGAAATCCAAGCGGGGCGAAGCTTTAAACTCCACACCAAAGCAATTCCAGTCCGTTGATTATTAGCTTTCGCAATGTGCCACTGCGAGTAGGCCTGTGCAAGGTAACGTTTAACGGGTAATAAAATTTACTCTACGCTTACCACGTTGGTAATGCTTTACTTATACCTTTATCGTTAAGGGTTATTGGATAATTACCCTTGATGATAAAAGTATATGTAAATTATCCAATAAAAATAAAAAATACACTTTTCTTTTATTTTACCCATTAACCAGATAATAATATAATAAAAAATACACTTTCCCTTTATTTTACCCGTTAATCAAATAATTATCCAATAAAATTACACTTTACCTTTACTTTATCCATTAATTAGATAATTATCCAATAAAAATAAAAAATACACTATAATTTAGTTTTATCCGTGGATCGGATAATTAATCAATAAAAATAAAAATTTCATTTTACTTTTATTTATGAGTTAACTTGGTAATTACACCTACAAAAATATTTATTTCAAAGACTTTCAATTCAAGTTGGATCCAAATATCATTTTTTCAAATTGGTTGTTGAGCAATTGTTTCACAATAATCGCCTTGTTCAATCTCCAATTGGTTGACGACATCTTTAATATCATCGGTGGGGTTTTTTTTATCAGTGAATCCAATTGTCGCACCTGCTATTGCTCAGTTTGTTGGCACTTTGAATATCTTTGCATCCATCCATGAACGGTTAACACATGATCATGATAAACGTCAATGACGACAGTTATTATTGAGAGCTGGTAAACTTCGTGACCAACAACGATGTTGACACGCTCTGATGGTGTTGACGTCGCCGGCATTTCAAGATAATCCATGGCCATCTGATAGTGCGCAAGCCGTATTTCCACGCGGGCTGATCATCAAGACAAGATGTCGATAAAATCTTATATTGGAGGACGCCGATGGATAAGAATTGATCTACCTCATTGAGCATGATATTATCGCTCTCTTTTACGCTATTACGCTCCATGATATATTGGCTGGAATATTACCGGCAATAAATTAATGGCAAGTTAACAAACGCCAAGCAAGAACAAAATTTACAAAGTTGTGAACTTAAGTGTAATTACTCGGATAAGGAGTAGGTAAACCGACAATACTTATATTTTACTCTCTAACTTACCAATTGGTTATCTTCACACCGAGCCGCCAACTTAACAAGTAATTACTCGGATAAGGAGTAGGTAAACCGACAATACTTATATTTTACTCTCTAACTTACCAATTGGTTATCTTCACACCGAGCCGCCAACTTAACAAGTAATTACTCGGATAAGAAGATAGGTAAATCGACATTACCTTTACTTTACACTCTGCCTTATGCATTGGTTATCTTTGCACCTTAACCCCTAACTTTTATCTTTTAATCTTGAGTAAAAGATAGTTTACCATGCCGAGACCTAACTACGAGTCTCGTCACACTGCGAAGTTCAATTCAAAGATCTTAATCTTCACATTTATAATGGCGACATTAGGGTTGAAAACAATGAGTTTTGTTAACTTATTATATGCAAAGCTTGTGAGTTGATTGCCGACTATGTCGAATAGAAGGTTTGTTGTGCAGAAAAGCTTTTTGCATTTTGAATAAGATTCGAAAGTAGTAACTAGGTTTGCACGAGCTGCAAGTTTTTTCTTTTAGTTACCTTCGTTAGCTAAAGTTCACAAAAAGATTCTGGAAACTGATTTTGGAAACAATTTTGAAAAACAATTATGTTATGTGAACTTAAATTCTTAGAAATTATTCACCTATTTTGAATATTCAGCTTTTTATGAATGTTTGTTATTGTGAATATCGAACCAAATTCATAGATACTATTTCAATTTGGGATTTAATATAAACTAATGATAATTTTTTGCCAGATGTAAGAGTACTGTAACGTGTTTGAGCAAGTAATACTAGCAGAGTTTCAGACCAACAATGATTGACTTGTGATTCAACTGTCAACGTGCAGAAAAGTTTGTAAGCGGCAAGTAGTTGACTTGCAAAAATATTCTAATCGATAGTAAACGAACAAAGAATTTGAAAGTGTTGAGCAACGCTCTCGCAAGATTAATGACACCCGAAGAAGTTCAAGAGTGATAGACGGTTCGTGAAAAAGATAAATTACAATGGAGTTCAAAGAACTTGGAGAACAGCAGATGACGCGCGGGAATGAAAATGATTGACAGATTCTAAAAAGAACTTCTGGAAGATTTTTAAAATAACAAGCAATGCACGACTGAATTTTGAGTTACATCTGACGCGCAAAACAAGTTCAAGAGTGTGGGCTGATCTCGACGCGCGAAGCGGTGCATAACTAAGGGTTTAGGATATATATATATATATATATATATATATATATATGTGACAATTTTAATAAGAATGAACTTATTGTAAACTAAGATTAAGTAGATTAATTTTGATCCATCATATTTAAAATAGACAATTTATGCTTTAATTTCATTTTGTTGAGTTCTTTTTCTTACCAAATTTCTTGATTGGCATAGCTTGAGACCTATATTCTACTTCAGTTTTGCTTATAATTTTTTAAGTCATTAGATTGCTATAAATATTTTGTAAAAATCTTGCAGAAATTATTTGATAAATGTAAATTTATTCCGTTAAATATTTTAATTGAAAGTATGGTATTCAAGAGCATATTATATATATATACACTCCTGATAAAATTAGATAAATTGTATCATATTAAGAAATAGATCAGAGCACATATTGAAAATTAAAATAAGAATTATTAAAAAAAATCTTATGTTAAAAGGGATTTAGGGTTTACCTAAACCCCAAATCCTAAAGCAATGTATACATGATGTGGTGCCTAATTTTTTTTGTTTTTCTTTAAAAATCAACAAAACTAAAAAATATTTGTGTAGAAAGTAGCCGTATGAGTTAGAATAAGTAGCTTTTGAGGAGTTATGATAGGATTAGTTAGTATTCGCCTACAGCCGAAGATCTTCGGGTCTTCGGATCTTCGGCTCAGCCTTTTCTAGACAATGCAAGAGCTGCGTCTTTGGCGAAGACATAAAAATCAATTTGAAATCGCGCAACGGGCCGGACGACATTTGCATGCGTCGAGAATTCTACTGGACGCAAGGGAGGCAATGTTAGGGCTTCAAGGGTAAGGGCATTACGAGGAGCCTTCGTGCTGACATTGCGATATCGAGCAAGAACGAGCGAGAGTGAGAGAAGAGCGAAATCGACCTACCTTGCTAGCAGCGAAGACGTGAATTGGAAACATGACGCCCAAGAAGAGTGATAAGGTGCGAAAATTGGTTCCCTTAAAGGTGCCATACGAGGAATTACTACCCTTCAGGAGCAAGCTCAGCGAATTGCGTCTTGATTTCCTCTTGTGGAATTGGAATTGCGTCTCGGCAAGTATCTGTAAAGAGATGATGGATAAGAACAAGACCGAGGGCGAGGAGCTTCGAGGTAATCCCACGCTGTAGACAATTGAACATTGGGCGAAGGTGATGGGACCGTGCGCAGGTAGTGACGGAGATCTCTTGTTTGTGAAGAGTAACGTGGGACTTACGCGCACTGAAGAATTCTCTTAAGGGCCACTCTTCAGTTCCAGGAGGCAGGGGACGAACGGATGGAAGACAACTGATTACCTGGATCCAAAGAAAAAGGCGATTGCACTTGGGATTATGCATATTGTGAGGCCTACTTTTTTGTTTTTATTTAAAAATTAACAAAGCATAAACATATTTGTGTAGAAGATA